CGCTTATTAACGGCAGATATCGTTTCTTCTGCCAACTAAATTTTGAAAAAAAAATAAAAGGAGTTGGTAGGATATGATGAAAAAAAAAAAAACACCTGTATATATATATATATATATATATATATATATATATATATATACAGCAAATATATACAGTCTTATATAAAACTACCGTCACGGTGTATGTAAAAGGAGAACATACAAAAGAGTTGCAGGAGATTTTAAGTCGTTGGAGGCCGTGGTTGATGCGAATGTCGATTTTATTGAATGCGTTTACTCTTTAGTATTTCAAGATATTACATGTCATTTTCGTAAAATGAGATGTTATTTTCATTTTGCGTAGTTTAGACGACAGTTTATCCATCACATTCGGTATATAAATAAATATACATATTATTCCTCACCGGTAGCACAACGCAATCTTCAAGTGCTGAGCAGAGACATTTATTGTTGCAAAATTTAAATTTTCATATGAAATATCTGGTGATAACAATTGGCACAATTCATATATTATACGGAGATTACGTTTTTTTTAATTGAAAAAATATATATTAAATTTAAAATAGACAGGATTCTTATTTTATATTTAAAATAAACGGGGATTAATATTTTATTCTATACTAGTCTAGAAGCCGCCCTTCCGACCAACTGTTAATCCTGTTCACCATAGTATATGAATATAGAATACAGCGCAGTAAGTAATCTGTTCAATGAAACAACGTTAAAGATTAACACTCATCAGCAGTGGTTCCGTAATTCTTCAGTCTTCGATATCAAAGGCTGGCAATGCATATTCGAAAAAAAAACAAAAAAAAAAAACAAAAAAACATGGCCGCCTTTATACACGCTGCATTGAATATTTTGAGCCTTCTGATTGGTTAACCCTTCTATTGGTGAACTATAAAATGAGTCAGCTCATTTTGGTTGGCTAACTACTACCAAAAAATTCTAACACCAACTTTATGCTAACTCCTGTGCTTTTTGGCCTTTTTATCTTCAGCATCCTATGTACGTAAAGGTTATAAGAATTTAGAAATAATAAAATTATTTTATCTTTTTATTCGACACCTTAATTCGTCATAATCTTTTTCTTCGTATATTTAAACTGACCTCCGTAGTTAGTTTACATTTTGCGCTCATTTTTTTATTTTCTTTTAAAGTCACCATTCTTTATGATACCTTCACATAAAGTGATTAGACATTAGGGAATCCGAACTGTAATATTTTGAATACGTCACAGTACGGTTTAATTAGACGCTATCAATTGCAATTGCGACGAAAAGCGAATTATAAGTTAAACCTTTAATAAAGAATTGTTTTTTTTAAACCTTTCACTCTGTTCGATATTTAAATTTAACTTTAAAAAAGTAAAGGGAGATTGATTATTCTTAAAAAAAAGCAAACAAATTATAAATTTACATTAAAATTAATTGGGATCAACGTATTTCAACGGACATTTATTGTTGTGCTTATCCGTGATCAATTTATTTTCTATTGTTTAATAAGTTAAGGTAATTTAAATGTTTTAAGATAACTAATTTTTCTACAAGGCATCAATTACATCTATCACCTTTCCCATTTTAAATTTGTTTTTTTTGCTACAATATCCCACGTAATAATGGGTCTGTTACCACCATTCTTTAATTTTCAGAAATCTTTTGAGAGAGCAGTGCTGTTTATGTATTTTATATGGACTAAAAGTCATTCGATAATGGTAGAGATAATTTCTAAGGATTTTCATTGAGCCATATATCTTTTGTAAAAAATATCAGATAACGTAAAAGGACAGTACGCATAAAGACAAAAGGAAAACGTATCTTAGCCGACACATTTAGTTCTCTGATGAAAATATAGTTTTAAGTCATGCTATATTTATAGGTAAAAGTTCTCAACATCAGTGATAGAGAGAACGTAAATATAAAATATAAAAGAGGACATTAATGTCAACACGCAGCAGCGACGGTTTTTCATGCTTGAATGGAAGTTTCAGGTCATGTCTCTAAAAGATATCATTCCAAAGGAGAATGAACGACGAAAAAAAAAAAAAAACGAATGGATCACTGATGAGATTCTCGACATGAAAAGGAGACAGAAAACTCTGCCAAGACACGGAACGGAACACTGAAAACTACACAACGAAATAAGGACCAAATACAGGCAAGCTAAATAAGAGTGGCTAAATAAAAAATGTGCAGAAATAGAGAGATTTAGTACCACAGACAAAGGAAATATGCATAGACAAATAAGGGAACTAACAGGATAGACGACTTGCTTGGCAACAGGCTGCATAAAATCCAAAGAAGGAAAACTCATATTAGAGAAAGAAAAAAATTCTTCAGCGCTAGAATAAATGTATATTGGGGAACTCTTCAACGACGAAAGAGAACAACCAGCAATACACAGAACTACCGACCGGCCTGAAATTCTAAAAGATGAAGTACAAGCAGCACTGATCAAATTAAACAGAAACAAATCGGCAGGGCCAGACGGAATTGTAACAGAAATGCTGACAGCCTTATATGACGTTGGCATAGATAAGATTATAGAAATAATAAATGAAATATTCAACAGTGGGGATACTGGAATATCTAAGCACATCTATTTTCATAGCAATGCCTAAGAAACCAGGCACAAACGAATGTAAACTCCACTGAACAATCAGCCTAATGAGCCACATAACAAAACTCATCATCCGAATTCTGATGAATAGAGCGAGCAACAGAATTAAGCCAGAGATAGGACATGAACAGTTCGGGTTCGTTTAAGACACTGGAACAAGGAACGCAATATTCTTGTTCAGAATGTTACCAGAAAGAGTAATACAAATGCAGAACGACGCGCACATGTGTTTTATAGACTACGAAAAGGCATTTGACAAAGTACATCACAAAGATCTCTCTCTCTCTCTCTTCTCTATATATATATATATATATATATATATATATATATAAAGTGGGCACGAAGGTCAACACCGAGAGGAGACAAACTGTTTTTGGTTGAACGTAATCTTCAGGCAATGTGTGTTGTGTTTTGGCTCGACAATTTTTATATATGCAAGTTAATGGTGCATTATGGGTAGCAAAGTCAATTATCTTAAGATTTTGGGGGTACGAATAATTGTGGATTCAAATGCGGTTACACGTAGCTATTTTATAATGTTAGATTATTTATTATTTCATTATTATTCTTACATACACGAAACACACACATATATATATATATATATATATATATATATATATATAATCGAGTCTCCCGTCGAGATTCGACGTATGAGGGTCAAGCAGATCAGTTTCCAGGAAACCAACAGCCCGACACCGGCACATGAGATTTTATTACAGTGGTGAAGGCCTCGTGCAGGACCACTCACACTTTTTGAAGAGACGAATACAGAGACCCGGTGCACCGAATGCCACAAGGTTCACAAACGACCCTCCGCAGGTTTTGAATTCAGAGTTATCCTTCTCCTAGACCAGTTGTCATCCAAGGCTATAGAACCCAGTCTGTCCTGCTATTTTACCCATAGCTGGAGGGAGAGGAAGAGGATTCATACCTTTCCCAAGGGTATTAGCATGTAAGGGAATGTAATGGATTCGACTGGAATATATATATATATATATATATATATATATTCGTTGGAGGAGTGGATAGCAGCTCGGATTGAGGAATTGGAGAGCCGAGTTCGAATTCCAGTCGAAATCATTACATTCACTTACTAATGCGTGCTAATAGCCTTGGGAAAAACTATTAATCTTCTCTCTCTCTCTCTCTCTCTCTCTCCAGCTATTATACTAAAGAAACAATCCACACCGAATGAAATATCTTTCGTCAGAAGATAGAAGACATTCTATGAGCATAAAATATAATAATAATAATAATACAAGAACAACACCCAGTTCTTGACAATGACTGATATGGTAGAAAATCTTTGAGAAAACAGAAAAAAAGGAAAACAAAGAATACAAAAAAGAAAGAAAGGAAGAAAAGAATTTATCAACAATTTTAACCCTGATGAACATCTTACCGGAAATTTTTTTTAAAAAGCCTGGGCTTGTTTTAATGTAACAAAATTTGTTTAGATAAATTTGTGCTGCTTAAATAGCAGGACATACGGGCCTTGATAGCCTTGTATGGCAACTGGTCTAGGAGAAGGACAAATCTGAACTCAAAACCTGTGGAGAGTCATTTGGGGACTTTGAAGAGTACGTAGGACCTTCAAAAGTGTTGATGATTCTGCGCAAAGCCTTCACCACTATAATCAAGTCATATGAGCTGTTGATTCCTTGTTTGACCCTCATACGTCGAATACGACGTATACATATATATATATATATATATATATAGAAAGAAAAGAAAAAAGAAAATAAATATATATATATATATATATATATATATATATATATATATATATATAGAAAAGAAAAAGAAGAAATATATATATATATATATATATATATATATAGAAAGAAAAGAAAAATTAAAAAATATATATATATATATATATATATATATATATATATGTGTGTGTGTGTGTGTGTGTGTGAAAAGTGTATATAAATATAAATAAATATATATATGTATAATTATTTATATATTATATGCGCGGTACTTATTAGAAAGCGCTCAATATCAGAGATAGACCAAATATATATATATATATATATATATATATATGACGTTTTTGTTTCGGAGAACAAGGTGATTGTCTTTAAAATACGAATTTAGAATTTTATCTTCTGTGAGCTGCAACACCGCCTAAAAGGATTGATAGGAAAACACGTAACTTTAATGAAAGATACTGTTGAGATAAGAGAGGATAATTTGCAAAGAGCTAATGGCGAGGGATATATTTTAATGTAGTTTGATGACATCAAAATTCATGGTTGGTGATGCATCTTCGTGGTAGAGCATAAAACAAAATCCAAAGAGATTCAGGCAGAATTTGATAAGGATTTGAAGAGCTCTGGGTAAAGATTTGTCACAATTACCTTATGAAGACATTACGACAGAGAAAATAAAAATAAATAAAATTTTAAAAAAGCAACAAAAAAATACCGAACGTGAAGAAGAGAAAGGAAAAACAGCAAGGGGCGGCAAAGAGAAAGGAAAAACAGCAAGGGGCGGCAAAGAGAAAGGAAAAACAGCAAGGGGCGGCAAAGAGAAAGGAAAAACAGCAAGGGGCGGCAAAAGAAAGGAAAAACAAGGTGGCTAAAAAGAGCGGCAAAGAGAAAGGAAAAAAACAGCAAGGGCGGCAAAGAGAAAGGAAAAACAGCAAGGGGCGGCAAAGAGAAAGGAAAAACAGCAAGGGGCGGCAAAGAGAAAGGAAAAACAGCAAGGGCGGCAAAGAGAAAGGAAAAAAAAACAGCAAGATGGCGGCAAAGAGAAAGGAAAACAGCAAGGGCGGCAAAGAGAAAGGAAAACAGCAAGGGGCGGGGCGGCAAAGAGAAAGGAAAACAGCAAGGGGCGGCAAAGAGAAAGGAAAACAGCAAGGGCGGCAAAAGAAAGGAAAAACAGCAAGGGCGGCAAAGAGAAAGAAAAAACAGCAAGGGGCGGAAAAACAGAAAAGGAAAACAGCAAGGCGGCAAAGAGAAAGGAAAACAGCAAGGGGCGGCAAAGAGAAAGGAAAAACAGCAAGGGCGGCAAAGAGAAAGGAAAAACAGCAAGGGCGGCATTATCATCAAAAGGAAAAAGAGAAAAAAAGGGGCGGCAAAGAGAAAGGAAAAACAGCAAGGGGCGGCAAAGAGTTTGTCAGTCACTCGAGGCAGTCAAGTAAATAATTTATTCACAAAAAATTAAGCTTCTTTAGAACTTAAGCAACAGCTAAAGAGGTAAATGTCCATGGAACAAATCCTTTCCAGGTATTTAAGAATCTGATGTTCAAAGAAACTTAAATAAATGATGAACTGAATGGAAAAAGTAAATCTTGAGATAAACAACTTTGTTTCTGCTCAATTTTGATCAAATGTTATGCTGCGTCCTTACCACAATTCTACCACAATGTAAGTTTTCTTGCAAAATTTGTAAATTTTGTTTATTGGACAGGTCTGTAAGATATTTTACATTTAACAATCACCACTCACTCTACAGAATTGAAGTGAACAAAAGGATTCGTAAGAAATTCGAACTCTCGACGCTGGATCCAGTTTCTGTGTTGGTGACCGTTACACCCCGCGCACAACCAATTATCTAAATTATAAATCAGTAGGTCATAGGGAAAATAATGTCCTAAATTAACGCAATAAAACAGCGTTTAAACTCAGTCGAACTCTTAGTTACTCGTTCATTCATGCCTTTAGGATCAAACACTAAAACAATCTTTGAATGCAGTTTCTACAGCTTCTTTGCAACGAAATGCCTTGGTTTAGTTTGACGACGAACTACATCCAGCAGCAAGGCATCTGATCGAGAGATTGGAGATTTTGAGGAATCATATCTTAATTGCTGTTGTTCCCAGATCCAGCCTGACCCAAGGTGGTAGTACCTGTTAGGGGTCCACGTTATGGGCTAATAATGAATCCTCAAACAAAAACAAAACACTATGAAAGTATAAAATTACATTTTTTTATAGTAATATTACAGCAATGATTCCCAACGTTGGGCGCATGCCTCACCGGTGGGACATGGTAATATTTTGTGCATCATTTGGTTTACTATTACTGACAGAATAGGGGGAGGGGGAAATTCTACAATGAGTTACTAACAGTGAATTGTTTTCTAGTGAGCTCAAATTTCATTTTCGCATTATTATTTCATGATTAAAATGATCAAAAGTATATTACAGAATAAACTTTCATTCAAATATTTTATATTTCTGCCTTTCAGTTCTAAACTCTCATATAAACATCGTGAATGCTGTCCAGATCATTTATAAAGTACGAGGTGTGTCAGAATGTGGCTTTAGTGCTGTAAATGATTTGTTATTTAAGGAAAGAAATCAACTGGATATCACTAAACGAGGAGACTTGAGGCTTAAGCTGACTAAATTGGTGCCTAATATAAAATCTATCTGTAGCAGACATGACGCACAAGGAGCTCACTAACATTTTGTGAGGAGCTCAAATTTCATTTTGCATTATTATTTCATGATTAAAATAATCAAAGTATATTATAGGAAAACTTTCATTCAAATATTTTATATTTCTACCTTTCAGTTGTCTATTATATGTTTTGAAGCTATATATATTTAACTATTTCTTTTTTTATTTTTTCACTTTCATGGGAGATATGGTTTTGAGATCAATTTAAGGGCCTTTTAAGCTTCCTTCACGTGAATTGCAGTAACATTTTGAATATGTAGTCGAATCCATTACATTCATTTACGTGCTAATACCCTTGGGAAAGGAATGGATCCTCTTTTTCTCCCCCAGCTATGGGTAAATAATAGAAGAGACCTGGTTCTATAGCCTTGGATGGCAACTGGTCCACCGCAGAAAGAAATGGCAAACTATTGCGGGAAAAAATCTGCCTCGTCACTCATATATCGAAAGATACATGATAACTTAAGCATGTTATCATGCATGGCACATAACAGATTGAAGAATTAAATATTATAGAGGGAGCACCAGAATTTTAGAAATATCAAAGTGGGGCATAGCCCAAAATCGTTTGGGAACCACTGCATTGCAGTCAATATATTTTTATATATAAAAAAAAAAAAATTACCAACGATCCATTTTATCTGTAGTTGAAAGCATGTAATTACGTTTAAAATATATTTAGTTGGAGATATAAAATTTGCCCAAAGCATTTAGATTTCGGTATTAAATAACCCATATAGGTGTTGATATGCCACTAAACGAAATCAACCAACCTTTGGCTTGAAAAAGATCAGTCAGAGAACAAGATTCGAATTTCGCAGATGCAGCATCGAATACATTGAGTTTTTCGCCCTCGCCAATTTATTTGAGAAGGTCCGATATTGTTGAAATACTGACACCTTGACGTGGGTTTTGTTCCACTAGTGTTTTCAAATGTTGATTCTCACTTTCAGATAGATGTCACCTACGATGTCGATATGTAAGACACGTATCCCCACTGCGGAACTTCGGAAACCAGCGCCGGTCTGTCCGATCACATGTGGATCCTTCGCTCCATGCTCTGTTAATGTTGACACCAGTTTGTGAAGCTTAATGGCCAAACTTGAACTCGTGCAAAAGGCGTAAACATATATTCTTCTTTCAGGTTCAAGATGAGTGGCTATGTAATATTTCAATTTAAATTCTGAAAGAGATTGATATAAAATAAAAATGACACTTTAATCATTAGGAATGAGTTATATATTTTTATGCCACTATTTCCTCGTCGTCATCATCCGTCCGTCTCGAGAGACGATGGAGTAGCGCTGTAGGTGCTAGACGATGGAGTTACATCACCTCTGGTGACTGTGTAGTCCCACTCTGGACCGGCAGTCTCTCAGGCACTTGGCGCAGATGAAACTAGTTGACACGGACACGGAGGCTATCCCTGCTTTTCTCCTGGCTCTCATTGCTTGCCTGCTGATTTTCCCTCGTGGCTTCTGCAGTCGTGACGCCGTCACTGACTGTGGCTCTCCAAAGCTGACGATCGTCAGCCGCGTCTTCCCAGCTTCATGTCCCGTTTGCAGACATCCTTGAAGCGGAGCTGAGGTTTTCCAGTTAAACGGGACCCCTCACGCAGCTCTATTTAACACAATTAAAATGACTATTATAAAATCTGTCATTATTTTCTATACAACCTAATTATAAGATATTTGATTCGTTTTTCGGTCCCGGCGTCGAAGTGAAAGATTTCGTATCGTTGCCCTTAAATCAAATCTATTTCAGGACTCAATTCAGTTATTGAAAACGTGAAACTCGTACTACGCTTTGGCTTGATAGATTGTATGATATATCAATTTTTTTGTTGGTTTATTTAATGTATAGATTTTTATTTATTATTATACTTAAATCCAGAAGCGACATTAGACTCACTTCATGTGGGACGCTATCCGCGCACACTGAGCCGGCTTCATGACTGGCACTATGCTCAAACAATGGTCTAGATCAGGTTTTTTCGGCAAGAATGCACCTAGAATGTCTCCTCTTTGGGTATGGCATTATCAATGCGTATCCACCGATTTCTCGGCCACGCTGACAGGACATTGATTCATATAAAACAATCAACCAATCGTTAAAGATATTTGTTTATTTCAATCACTTTGTTTTTGATGAGTGAAATTTTATTCTGTTTTTACTGTGACTACAACATATCAGCTGATCTGTCCTTCAACCATTTTCAAATGTCAGTCAATCAGTTAAGAGCCGTACTTAGGCGATCATGTATCTTTCGATATATGACTGGTAGGACAGATTTTTTTTTTATCGCAGTACGACCTGTTCTTCAACCATTTTCAAATGTCAGTCAATCAGTTAAGAGCCATACTTAGGCGATCATGTATCTTTCGATATATGACAGACGAAACAGATTTTTTCTCGCAGTACGATCTGTTCTTCAACCATTTTCAAATGTTAGTCAATCAGTTAAGAGCGATGCGTGATACACGATTGGGCGATCATGTATCTTTCGATACATGACTGACGGGACAGATTTTTTTTTCGCGCAGTAGGTTGCCATTTCTTTTTGCGGTAGGCTGACTGCCAACCAAGTCTACAGAATCCAGTCTGTCCTGCTGTTCAATATGGAGGAGGAAAAATGAATACATACCTTTCCCAAGGGTACTTGTGCGTAAGTGAATCAAATGAACTTGACTGGAATTTGAACTCGGCTCTCTGAGTTCTCATTCTGAGACAATATCCGTTACACCACAAGGCACAGTTTGAAATGTACTGTACGCAAATAATGATAGATTTTCTAAAAGAAACTGATGCCATTTTCAGCAACCCGTGTCACACATCGAACAATTCTTAATATTGTTCGGACAACTGGGCCTTTCTTATACTAGATGTTATTTCAGCCGATCCTTTCTTCTGAATTTGTCACACAAATTCTCTCCACTATTTTTCATATATAGTGGAAAGTCGGTTATTTGAATGACAAATTGCCCAAACAAAATTTTAAGATCCTGTATTTTACATATTTGTACAGAATTAAAATCGGTTACAAAGAACATATTGATTTATTAATCGATATATTTTCTATAGCTTATTAACCCTTTGTGGGTTATTTAAAGCTAGATAAGAATTTTTTTAGAGATAATAATGGACATTTAATTGTCTTAGATCTTCATTTTACAAGCATTATTTGGGAATTTCGATCTGTCCAGTTTTGAACCACTTGAAGGGATCTAACAGATATTTCATTCCAAACTGCTAAGATGGCGTTAAGTTGCCCCCAACTCCATCTTAAAAATCCTTCATTTAAACTGTTATTTTTTATACTGATATCTGGACTCTTGGCCAACACGACCAATTACTAATATTAATGTGGGATACTGAAAAGCTATGAAAATAAAAAGATAATGAAAGAGAAGCTAAATAAAATTGATAGATTTATTCATTTTACGCCGGTTCAACTCTTTGTAGGTTATTGAAATATTTTTAGACAGAAATAATTAAATAAATATAATGATTTAATGATAAAGGGTGTTCCAATAACTTGGACCGATTTTAAATGTGAATTAAATTTAATTGCTGTGTGCTCCAAGGAAATTGTGGAGAACCATGATCACCTACGTCCTGAAGCGATACAGTACATAGAATATTGGAGTACAATTTACAGTAAAATTAGTTAATAGTATTATTTGTGGCTTAAATTGATTTATTATGTATATTGTTATGACGAGTTGTCCGTAAAATAAAGGGCGTTCCAATAACTTAGACCGATTTTAAATGTGAATTAAGTTTAAGCGTCTAAAGATTTTTTTCTTTTTCTTTCAGATTTAAAAACTTACGTCTCTGGCAATTTCAACCATGGAAAGATTAATAATCGAACAACGTGTTAAAGTTATCGAAGCCTATTACGAAAATGGACGTTCAAACAGAATTTGAATGAGAAATTCCCAGGTGGCATCATCTCTCGAAACAGCAAAGTCAATTGGCCATCAGGATGGTGCGATTTGACTTTAGATTTCTTAATATGGAGTCATCTCAAAAGTAAGATCTATGCCATCAAGCCAGCAACAATTCAACAGCTGAAGGAGGAGATAAGCCATATTGATGAGATCGAGGAGCAACTATGCAGAGGCTTCATCAAAATTTTTTACCATCGAGTGCAGGTGTAGCGGACATTTGGGCGATATTATTTTTCACACAAAATTGCCATGACTTAAATAACATGATCAAATAGAGAAATAAATAAATTTTCACCAATAACACTGATTTATTTAATGCTGACTTTGATCCGTCTTAATGAAACACCCTTTACAAGTCTTACTATCTAACCAATAGCTGGGGGAGAAAAAGAGGGTTCATACCTTTCCAAGGGGCATTTGTGCGTAAGTGAATATACTGGAATTGAAACTCAGCTCTCTGAGTAACAATTCCGAGGCAGTATCCATTACACCACCCGCTATTCCCAAACGGCCACCAGTCTAGGTACTGACCAAGCTTGATGTTGCTTAACTTCGGTGATCGTACGGGAATCGGTGTTTTAAAGTGATGTAACCGTAAGCCTTTTTTTCTGATACCAATTTGGGGAGGAGAAAGCGGTCGGCTTGACACTGGACCGATTTAAACTGTACCGAAACAACGTTAGCGTATAATAAAAGTAAAACGAAAAATAGCTGTCAATTATGATCGCAATGAACTTCATTTAAATAACCTTAGAGCCTTCGACGAACATCGTACATTTCCTGTTCATGTACGTCAATATATTTCTTTTTATCACTATCTCACGATTTCTTGAAGTTAAAGACACAGAATGTAATTTTATTTTTGAAATAAAATCACGGATTTTTAAACAATATTCCATACTTCCACTCATTTTATCAACTGAAAACAAGCCATTTTTAAAACTAATATTCACCCAGCATGTAGCGAAGTGGTTAGAACTTTTGTATTCTGACAATGAGACCAGGGTTCAAATCTCATCATGGTCGGAAATGGTTTGGAAAGTGCCTGAAAACCATACCATGGGTTGACCCAAGCCTTGTTAGAGAAAGTGAGTAGACGGAACTCTTGGGAGCCGTCGATTGCTGTGCTAGCATGAAGTCACAAGTCATCGTGGCCGAGGGCTTGAGCGTGCTGGCCATGTTCAAATTGCTGAACACCCTCTTTCCCAGTAACCGTAATAAGCATATTTGCAGTATAAAACACAGGTGGGCTCTGTGGGTGTTGAATAAAAATAAATGCGCCTGAACAAGTGTCTGAAATACGGATTGGCTAGCCGCTCTAATAGACGGGTCTCCTCGAATACGAGTAGCTAGCTATAGTCACCAATTAAAAGGCTTGAGAGTCAGTTAAGGTAGAGGATTACTTAAAGAATATTGTTGGATGGTGGATTCGCTTTTGACGGCTTAACGACACTTTGCAGGTTATTTAAAGCCAGAAAAAATATTTTAGATTGTAAGAATTTCTTTTTCTTGTGGGTTATGTAATAATTGAAAGATTTGTGTGATTGTAATAGGACTTGGAAGATAAGGTAAGGATTGGCCCTTGATTCGAAGGGGTTAAGATTGGCGTTTGAGGAAGACAATTCAAGAACACAGCGAATAAAAAAAAAAGCCGGAACTTCTTTCTTACAATTGGAATACGGATGGAAAAAGGGAGCCTCGCCTCTGTTAATGTAGCGTGGCATGTCTTGGCTGTAAAGGACTGTAATCTGTTTTTTTTTTATGTGTTCAACATGGCTTCCCTTTCTATGGTTCATTTTGTTATGCGAACAAGAAAAGTATTATTAGATAACGTAGTTAGTCCTGTTCTTAGACCAATTATGGACGTCAAATATTCCCACTATATCCCATTTCATGTGCTGGTTGAATTATCTGAACAGAGTCTGTTTTAACAGAGGACTAAAAGAGTGATGCTGAAATCCGAAGGCGTATTCGGATAGCTTCGGAAATAAACTTTGGCTAAGCAAAGAATTCAGAAATAGAAGAAAAAAAAATCTCTAGAAACAAGGAAAAGCGAACTGAACTGATACAAGATATCTGTCCTCCTGTATGGCAGTGAGTGCTGGACGATCTCGTCAAAGATGGAAGAACTTGATGCAACAGAAATGTGGTTTTACAGAAGGATGCTGAGAATAAGTCCGAACATGTGAACTTCGACAAAGTTTTAGAGAAAATGAAAACAAAAAGGAAGATTAAATGAAGCGGTCAGTGCAAAATTTCCTGAAGACTATTCAAGTTGACTGAAAACTGAAGAAGCCCGGAGAGCACAGCGGCCGAAAAGTTGTGATAACAAAGATGAAGGTATTATTCCGACTAAAAGTAATGTAAATAAATGGAACTCATCATCTAAGAAATTCAGTTAGAAATATCCTATTTAGTGTGTGGAATGAGCAGTATGTGTGATGATTATTTCAAACTACTTTCATCGATCTTTTCCTTCAGTGTCCTTCATTACCTACTGACGTAATTCCATAAACCAAGTGATAAAGTGAAAGACAAGTAGCCCGAACTGGAAAATATTCCACTATTGATCCCTTGAAGATTCATGACTTGAAAATATTATCAAAAATAACAATGTGAAGGGGGGTGTAAGGATATTATTATTGTTACAAATTAAGAAAATAATTATAATGAAAATTGGTAGGACTATCATCCTCATCTTTGTTGCCATATTTATCACAACGTTTCAGCCGTTGTACACTCCAGCCTTCTTCAGGTGGTTGGAATGTTGAACTGAACCCTTTATTTCGCGCGCTAGAGTAGACTGATCTAGTTCCACGTGCCATGTCTAATGGATGTCAATTATCAGTTATCTCCTGTTAATTCTCCTCTCCAAGTTCTCCACAGCCTTAACCAGGTATTGAACTCACACTCTCTGGGTACTGTCACTACATCTAACTAACGCCTTTATTCACTGTGCTATGTGTCCTTGAGGACAGTGGATAAACGGCCGAAACGTTGTGATAAATAAGGCAACAAAGATGAGGACATTAGTCCGAATAATGTAAATAGTGTACATAATACCTCATCTCAGAAATATAGACAGATACTGAAAGGCCGAAACGTTGTAATAAATATGGCGTCAAAGATGAGGACATTAGTCCGAATAATGTAAATAGTGTACATAATACCTCATCTCAGAAATATAGACAGATACTGAAAGGCCGAAACGTTGTAATAAATATGGCGTCAAAGATGAGGACATTAGTCCGAATAAAAAGTCCGAATAATTCATAAAGAAAGTATAGACAGATTGAAAGGAAAAACGTTAATAAACCTCAGATGAGGACAGAAATATAGAAATATACTGTAAGATTCATTTCAGAAAACGTTGTAATAAATATGGCGACAAAGATGAGGACATTAGTCCGAATAATGTAAATAGTGTACATAATACCTCATTTCAGAAATATAGACAGATATAATCAAAATTATAAATAAAATAAAATGAAATAATATTTAAACCTTGTTTAAAATAAAATGGAAAATTATAAACTTACTCCCAGTAGGCAATAAAAACTGTTTCCGACTAAAGACGTGAGATTCGCTCTCTTCGCCGAAGAACTGTCGGGATGACAACTCGTGTATAACTTCCCTCTGTGATAGGATTTGGGATATTACGGAGAAACTTACTCTCTTTTATAATACTACCATTATCGCAACTATAACGTAAAATATACACGCAAATAGATAAATAAAATTGTATGAAATTCCCATACGATTTGTTATGCATTCTTTATATTGTGTACATTTATTTTTCCTTTTTTTATCTTCGTAAAAACAAGCCTAAAATTCTACTACCACTCCTCCTATGGTATGAGTGAATAACCCATAGGTTAAGCGTATTGGAATTAACTCCTTGGTAAGGACTAAATACTGCAAGTAATTAAAATACCTCATCTCAGAAATATAGACAGATCCCGAAGAAGATCGAAACATACAAGGACCGAAACGTTGTGAATATGCCAACAAAGATGAGAACAGCAGTTCGAACAATGCAAATATTGTAAATAATTAAAATAGTTCATCTTAGAAATATAGACAGATCCTGAAGAAGTACGGAGCGTACAATGGCCGAAACGTCGTGAATATGACAAAGATGGGGGAAACAGTTCGAACAATGTAAATAGTGTAAATAATTAAAATACCTTATCTGAGAAATATAGATTCTGAAGAAGGCCAGAGCGTACAAGGGCCGAAACGTCGTGAATATGACAATAAAGATGATGACAGCAGTTCGAACAATGTAAATAGTGTAAATAATTAAAATACCTCGTCTTAGAAATATAGACAGATTCTGAAGAAGGCCAGAGCGTACAAGGGCCGAAACGTGGTGAATATGGCATTAAAGATGTGGGAAGCATTTCGAACAATGTAAATAGTGTAAATAATTAAAATACTTCATCTCAGAAACAGACAAATACTTAGTGTTACTTTATTTGAAACCACCACTTAATTTTTCTCGTCTTTCCTTCATACATATTATTGCTGAGTGCTTGAATTCAATTTCAACCTTTTGCTGATAATTTATTGATTCCAGATGAGAACTTGAATTGTTCCAACATATTGGAAAAAAACTATTTTTTATTTTTGTTTATTTTTTCTGCTGTACATCTTTATTTCATTGAGATGTTTGTAATTAATGCTCTGTCTTCTTGACGTTTAAACCTTTGACACTTTCAATAAATTTCAAGAAAAAAAATTGACAGGTTTATCAATGAATGAATTTCCAAGACTTTGCTCTGTTATACTTTCTAGAAAAAATGGAGGTTTATAAGGAAAATAATTGAAACTAAATATCCAAAAAAAAAAGAGGGTATTTAAAGAATTTGACCGAATTCAGTTCTGTTCGTTAAAATCAGTGACGCGCAAATACTGTTGTGAAATGAATAAATCCAAGTACTCACCTCTGTATTTAGAAAAATAATTTTTATTCTAAAAAATTTGTTAATGCGATAATTACATAGAAAAAAAATTTGCAATCCATTTTGCTTTCAAAATTTATTTTTAAACGGAGAATAAGCCTAAAAAAAATAAAACTGAAATTTGGGAGTTTTTATCCTTCTCCACAATAAAGCAACGAATCTTGCATAAATTAACTGTTGTCTTGACAGAATTTATTTTATCTATAAGTTCAGATTTGAAACAAAACATATCAACCAATCTATTATTTAATGTCGACAGCATTTTTTTTGGATAAAAAAACATTAATAGAAAATGTAAACTTAACAAAAATTATTCATTAATGTATTTATTTTGGTTTATATCTCATATCACTTTCCTTTGTGTAATTTAATGCTTTTCTATTATTTTTAGAGATCAAATATACAGCAATGAATTCAAATGTATTCTTCAGTTAAGACTTGGTTTGATTTATTTGTTTTTATGAAATATCAAGTTATAAAATATTTTATTTAATGCTGACAAATAAGAAAATTGTCTGATTAATTTTTTTTGTCAATCCTTTTTTTTGTTTCTGTTAATAGATTTTCCTTCAAAATTGTTGATTGATTTTATATACCTTTTCTTTTTGTTGCTGGTATGAATTAAAAATTTG